CATAGATCTTTCTTACACTTGTTCTATCTTGTACTGAAAACTGCTGATCTTTCTTTAAATTCTCCGGTTCATCAGAAAAACAAAACGATTTGAATTTCATTCGAGCAAATTTTTGTTTGGATCCCAACATATAAATATATATATATACATATATATTCGATAAGATCATTTTATAATAGATTATTTGTTTTTCTGTTTTATAAATTAGCTGTTTTTACCGTTCATATTTTGAGTAAATTTCCTCACGTGTTACATCACATGCGTTTATATTCCATTTTTCTGTTATACAAAACCTAATTACTCAATGACTTGTCTTTAATGAGTAATATATATATATATAAAACGAGAATGTTTTCTTCATTAAACCATATCAAAATGTTCTCATACTACAGTAATTCCATTGAAGGATATATATGTGTATAATCAATCTGAAATTGTTTAATTAAAAATAATATTTCGACGATTTCATTTAATAAGATATAAAACATTTGTTTAATTCTTGTCGAATATCTAAACCTTATTTCAAATAAATCTCAAATTGAAATCAATCGAATAGATGAACGACATATTATAAATAGTTTTTGTTTATTTGTATGTAGTAAAACGAAAAATGAAAATTGATTTACGCAGCAAGTCTCCCAACTAATTAATAACTTTTGACCTAGAGGCATGTGCATCATGTAGACCCTAATGAATTATGAATAACCAGAAAAGAGTTCGATCTTATAGCTTATTGCTACCAATACGTTGCACTCTTATGTCATTTTTCAATACAATGCTGTGGTCCTTACAGGAACATCAGAAAAACTTATTTTCGAATTTCGACTTGAAACTTTGCATAGAAACAAACTTTAACGAGAATAACTAATTGTGAAAATATCAGGCCATTTGATCTATTCCTGTCCTAAAATAAGAACATTGAATCTACACATGTATATGAGCGATGTAAAAGTTGCGCTTTCATCATACTTGTACACTGGCATAGGCACAATGACAATATCTGACATTTTCCCCGATAAACTATTGTTAATGTGGCATTGTATTAAAAAATGCAATATGTTGGCAGCAATAAGTTATGGACCCAAATTCTTTTTGGGGTATTCATAAACTCTCAGAGTTTACATGATGAACATAGCCACAACTTAGAAACGATTAATCAATGGAAGGAATTCCTTCGTTAGCTTCAAATTTTTCATCTTTACAAAGCGACAAGATAAAAAATCGTCAAAGAAATAACAAGGCTATATATATTCAATTCAAACATCTATTAGATATTGTATTGTACTATTAACATATGAATCTTTCTCAATTATATCATTGTCTAGTAAGATTTAATGTTCAAGAAATAAATAAATATTTCATTTCGTGATAATAAAGATGATATATATCGTTTAAACCAGTATCTAATTGTACGAAAGATATTCAAGAACTTTAATATTAGATGTCTTGATTTGTTTCTTTTTTAATCTTTAAAGGTAACATTTTTTTAAAATATATTTGAAGATCTAATAATATATAAATAATTTGTATTTGACAAGTAATAATATTTGTCTGATTATGCAATTTAAAATATGAATCATATTTAATAATAAATATAGGGACAGTATCGTTTTTTTTTTTTCATAGAAGATTTTTTCAAGTATTTAACCCGCGAATAGCGTTTAATTGATTAATGTACTATCTCAATCAAAATGCAACTCTTCTAGAATTCAGATGATGAGTATTGAATAAAAAAGCTCGTTTTATTGATTATCATAGTATAATTTGTCAATGGCATAGCATCTATGTACAAATAGCTCTAATAAAAAAAAAAAAAACTTTAGTTTACATCTTGTTTAAATTTACTGTTCCTATAGATTTTTATAGATGCTACTATTGAGTAAGTTTAAATACGAATTGATTGTGTTTATGTTAAAATTTCGAAGTCAATAAAACATTTATTTATCTTGAAATGAAATATTTTGGCGAAAAAGAAAAACAAGATTCTTCATTTTTCTTCATATGTAAAAGTATTTCTAGCTCGAATTGACCTTGACATAACAGTCAGTTATAATTATCGACCTCTTCAGAAATATTTAACACAATAAAGCCTTATCGTTTGTTAACATATCTTTCAAGTACTCCAGAAGGTCTCTGGTTATGCATTAACGATTAATGTGATGAAAGAATTATAACAAATCTTTTCTGTTTATCTTTGTCAGCACTAAACATATAAGATAGAAACAGAAAATAATAATGAATAAATATATAAGCATAAATGGACATCATGTTTTTTTGTTATCGTGAAGTGCTTAGGCTATGTCAAATGTAATGACGCCGGTACCATAGTATCAAATAGAGAAAGCTCGACAACAATATTTCTTTATATTTATTTCGTCAATAATTCATCATTAGTCAGTTTATATGATAATTAAAAAAATTTTCAATGAAAATTATTCATTTTTATTTTTGAATGGTTATGTGCCCATTGCACTTCCTATTCAATCAAAAATTATTCATGAAAAACTATGTGTTATTTTCAGAGATTCAACTATATCTATCGCGATGAAATTTGAGCAAAAAAAAATGATCGAAATGATTTTATGAAGATCGAGAACAAATCAACGACAAAGCAAAATCGAAAAGATCTGTAACTAACACAATATATATATATATAATATCAAACAAGCGTTCGTTGTCGTATTAATGATGATCTTTATATGATAATTGATGAATTATAATTCTAAATGGATCTGGACCATAAATCAAAAATAGTATAATTTAGAAAAAGCATTGTGTGGACTCAGAGGTGTTTTGAAGTCCCCAAGATTGTAAGGGTCAATCCTTGTTGCCGAGATTTACGAGCAAAAAATGAAGAAAATTGTTTAGTATCGCTGAATGAAAACGAAAATTTTTCGAGATTGGGAAGAGACAACGTACACCATGGAAAACAACGTGGACATTAGGTGAAAAAGATGAAAGTGAGCTTTATTGATATTTGAATAACAACTTATATACTTTCCGAGAATGCTTTTCTATATCTTAGGTATACACTCACAGTTATTACAAAGATATGCAAATGCTTCTGGACTGAGATACAAGTTTTCTAAAAGCTTTGGTTTTAAAATTTTTTTGTTCGTATTTTCTTTGTCACAAAAACACTTTGAAGAGAAAAGTAAAAACATATTTGTAATCGACATGAAAAATCTACATCGAGTGATGCATCATTTGTTAATTTAAAAAAAAAGATTTTTTTTTCCAGGAATTTAGGATAAGAGACCTTCTCGGAAATTTTCTATTGTAAATGGTCTTTTTTTTCATGAATCTTATTTTTGAGTACAAGAGAGAGAGAGAGAGGTATAGCCAGAAATTTTCTAAGGGAAGGGCACACTAGTATTATGCGAAAAGGTTTTTTATCCATACTCTCCTGCAGACTTTTTTTGTGGCCAAGGGAGATGCAAGAAGCTAATGTTTTTATAAGAAAAAAAAATCGTTTTTAACAGAAATCAATTCATGTGTCCAAGTACTCGATAACGATTGCTCATTGTGTCTCCGCTTGCTCAGAATATCCCTGTCGACAAGTATGCGTTTTCTCAAGTTATCTATATGTTATTACAGTAACAGCATTATTACTGTTAATATGAGTTATTAAATTGATTATTTTGATTTTTGCATGATTGTATTTAATTAAAAAACAAACAATGATAATAATCTTAATCGTGTACATATATCAATCATTTTCTGCTGAGAAAAATCTATTCTAATCAAACGTTAGATGTCGTAATATTCTTTTACTTTTACAAACTTCTATTGCTTTATAAAATATCCAATGAGAAAACTTTCAATGAAAAGAAAATCTTTTACCTATTCCACTGTTTGTCGTTATAAATAAATGTTTGAAGTGAAGCTGTCGTCATCTCATCTCATCTATTGTTAGCTACATGTTGTCACACAGTAAAAGGGCATTTCGTATTCAAATACATCGACACACACATACACACTCCTAATCTGTATTTTATTCTATCTTATTTTGTTTTTCTTTAAGATGAAAATATTAATTCTATTCTGGTCTGCAGTAATATAATTATTTTCTATGTATTTTTAAAAAAGAAAAAAAACGTAAACATTAGCATAATATGGGATTTTTATTTTCAAAACTATGGTCTCTTTTCGGTAAGAAAAAAAAAAAAAAAAACCTAAATTCAATGATTAAAATATCTCCTAATTAATTTCCTTATAGGTAATGAGGAACATAAAATTATTATTGTTGGTCTTGATAATGCCGGTAAAACAACTATACTCTATCAATTTTTAATGAATGAAGTTGTTCATACATCACCAACAATTGGTTCAAATGTTGAAGAAGTTGTTTTTAAAAATATACATTTTTTAATGATGGATATTGGTGGACAAGAATCATTACGTTCATCATGGCAAACATATTATACACATACAGAATATGTTATTTTAGTTATTGATAGTACAGATCGTGAACGTTTACCATTATCAAAAGAAGAATTATTTCATATGTTACAATGTGAAGAATTACGTACAGCATCTGTTTTAATATTTGCTAATAAACAAGATATTAAAGATGCTATGTCATCAGCTGAAATATCAAAACATTTATGTTTAACATCAATTAAAGATCAAGCATGGCATATTCAAGCATGTTGTGCATTAACAGGTGAAGGTTTATATCAAGGTTTAGATTGGATTGCATCAAGAATTAAACGATAACAAACACATCTATTTATTTATTTATTTATTTGTGTTTTATTTTTGTGATTATACTCAAAATGGTTCTTTTTGTGAAGAAAAACAAAATTCATAATATCTTTAAATTTCATCTATATGTGCATTTTTTTTTAGGGTTCTTTTTTTTTTGTATTTGTGTATGTAGACAGAGAGAATGAAATAAATGTTGTATAAATGGTCAAATGTTTATACTTAATTATTCTGATATTCTTTTTTCTTTTTAATTCTAGATAGTTTTTATTATTTTATTTTTGAGTTTTAAGATGACTGGACGAATGTTAATATCTGTTTATGATGATCTGCATAATAAACATGCTGATAAAATCGAATACGATTTATGGCGTATTAATAATAATACTGATCGTGTTTTCATAAAACATGATATATTTCATGAGAATAGTGAAAATATATTATTTTTAGTAAATACAATTGATGATTTTGGTACTTATGAAGTAGTTCTAAATATTAGAAATTATTTTGAACATTTTAATGAAAATATAGAATTACCTATTAGTCAATTTTCTCTTCCTGTTGGTATGTATGAACTTGATCAATGTTATCAATTAGGTATTCATATCACACCAACTGAAGTTTCATGTACTTTATAAGAAACAAAAGAAGAAAAAAAGAACCCTATGGAACATAAAATATTTGCATGTAGCTTAATTAGATTATTACCTGCAAAACCTTTTGTAGCTAAAAACCCTTCCTTTTTCATAATCTCATGCTCAAAATTATTATTGATACTAACGAGAAAATTTCTTTTATATATATGAAATATTTAATAAATATACATTGTTTTTTATATAACTTAATTTTATATTTAAGACTCAATGAATAATAGTTCAGTAGATCAATCACGTATATCAACAAATGCAATACCTCTTATTGGATCTATCTATAGTCGTACTTGGTCTTATTTAGCATTTGTTTGGCTTGGTCTAGGTGTTCTATTACCATTTCATTTTTTTATTATAGCCGATCCATATTTTCGTCATCAATTACATGATTCAACATTATCAAATGCATCAATATCTCGTCTTGAATTATCATATGAAAATGTTGTTACATTATGTGCATCAGTAACACAAATCACAACTATAATATTAGTTACATTTATATTTGTTCCATATATTCATAAATATCGAATATATACATCATTATTTGGTATAACAATATGTTTAATTATTTGTTTATCATTGATTTTTGTTAATGTTGAAAAATGGCGTTTAATATTTTTTATTTCAACTATGATACTTGTTATGATACAAAGTATGTGTTGTGCTGTTTTACTTAATTGTTTCTATTCATTAGCATCAACATTACCTAGTCGATATTTACAAGGTAAACATTTTGTTTAATAGAATTAAAAATTATTCAAATATTTTTTTGTTTTTTTGTAAATAGAATATTTTTAAAAGTAGAGATCAATTCGTTCTCTCCTTTTCTTACGCTTTTATTAGCACATTTTATTTGTTTTGAGGCATATTATATATAGGGAGTAAGAAAAAAATGTGCTGCATCCTATGATATATTGTTCTTGAGTAAAACAAAAAGGTTCAATTCTGGAAAAAAATAGTGACACTTTTTTTTCTAGTGTTCATAATATATATATAAACTTCATATGTTATATCAGTTGTAAAGATATGTGCTACTAATTTCTTCTGTTCAAATTTAATGCAACTACGCATCAATATGATATGGTGCACTTTTGTGAATTTATTCTTTATTTAGATGAAGCATGCATACATGCTTCGATGAATAGAATCTACATATTAATTACAAAATAATAAATAAGATAAAAAAACAAAAAAAAAAGATATATTAAAATCCAGACTAGAAGAAAAAGACGAATGTTCGATTACATATGACAAAAAAAAAACATGAAATAATTTTGAATTGAATCTTTTATAACTTTGAATAGTCAAAATAATCTTTAGTTTATTTTAGTATGGTAACTAATATCAATGATAGAGTTTTGGATCAATACAAACTGTGAATTAATGTATCTTAATAGAGGAAATCCATTTATGAGGAAACTAGCTGAAGTTTAATTCGTCGTTTAAGTTCATGTTGAGCTCATAACGAAGTCTCTCATGTAGACTAAAATAAGTTAGCTGAAAAGAATATTCATTTATCGAGATATTGAATTTCTAACTATCAGTCACTTAATACAAAAATTAAATTCATTTAGAAATTCAATATCTTGACAAAGAAACACTCTTTTCGTCTTAAACTTTCAAGATACTGCGAAAATCATTAGATCTATCCATGGGCAAAACTACATGCCAAAGTTTTATTATTTGATTTTTTTACTAAATAGTCTTATGATTTCAATACAAGCTCAAACAGTAAGCTGCTGATACAACTTTTAAGTTTTAAACCATATTCATTGTTCTTGACGAATGTTTCATAAAATGCAGCGCATTTCATACATTCTCGCTATTAAAAATAAACGAAAAATGCTAATAAAAATCCGAATTCATTCTCCTACTATATTTTATTAATTTCTATTCTAATGATATTTTAGACATGCATAAGACTTTGTCTTTTTTTTTATACTGAAATTAAAACACAATCTCCTAATAAGGCATCAATAAATTCTTTACTATTTTTTTTTTCGGAATTCAGCATTTATTGCAATTTTAGGAATATATCGATCGAAACAGACTTCAGAATATCTGGTGAGTGTTATATGTCAATAAAGCATGTACACTAAACAAAAACTTGCATGATAATGACTAACATAAAATAAAAAATGAATTTTTTCATATATTCTATGCATTCATTTAAATATAGAAAAATATTTCTTTAAATATTTTAATATTGAAATAAATTTTTTTTTTTTTTTGTATTTTGTCTATTTAAGGTTTTATATCTGGTCAAGCACTTGGTGGTCTATTTGTTATAATATGTTCAATAATATCAATATTACTTTCAAGTCATGTAAAAACATCAACAGCTATTTATTTTCTTATTGCAATTGTAGTTATTATATCAAATATAATAATATATTATTTTCTTGAAAAAACTCATTTATTTCAAATATATACATCAGCTATACAAGAAATAAATAATGAACATGAACCATTATTTCATGAATCATTATCATCATCATCTTATAATGATAATAATGTAACATTAAGTGTAACATCATTAGCTATACGTCAACGTTTATTTGTTGCTTATAAATATACAAAATGGAATTTTTATGGTATATTTTTAACATTTATGTCAACATTAACTATATTTCCAGCATATTTATCAAAAATTCAACCATCATATCCATCAATTAATTATTCTAATACATTATGGACTAAACGATTATATGTACAAGTAATGACATTTCTATTATTTTATATTGGTGATACATTTGGACGTGTAATATCATTAAAAATTCAAATACCATCACTGTTATATCCACGTACATTATTTTTGATATGTTTGTCAAGATTTATATTTATAATATTATTTGGTTTTTGTAATTTTCCAAATACAAATGGATATCCATATTTATTTAAAAATGATTTTATTTATGCATTATTAGTATTAAGTTTTTCTATATCACATGGATATTGTAATTCAATTAATATGATTTATGCACCACGACGAGTACATGCACAATTATCTAGTACTGTTGGTGCACTTATGATGATGGTATGTTAAATAAATAGATTTATTCAGAAAAATCATATTTTGAAGATGAATTTTTCTCTATCAGAAAGATTTTCATTTGTTATAGAATATTAATTAATTGTTTTTCTTTCGAAAGTAAAAATAGGGATTATATTTTTAATTATAAAAACAAAAATACATTATTAATGAGTCTAATCTTTTGAATAGACTATAAATAATTATACTATAAAAAAAACAATTGAACTATATTTACTTCAGTTTAATATCGCATGAGCCATTTTTTTTTCATGCTGATAACGTAAGTAAATACTGATTTAAGATATTATTATTGATGTAAGGCCTTAATTTCACTTGTAGTTTATTCTTATGTATATCCAAACTCTACATAACACTTTAATGACTATGGATTATGAAGAAGAGTAAAAGCAAAGGAAAAAGTTCTTCATATAAGCATGATGTTTAAAAAATTGACCATGACATAAACCTATAATAATTCTTCAACAATTCATATGAGCTGTTTATCGGAAGTGTTCAGACTACTAAAAACCAAGTATATTTCTCTCATAAGTTATTCAATTTTAGTAATTATTTTCACAGAAATAGACGTACCAATTGAAAAGTTCAAAAATTAACATAATCACTATTGAAGCGATCGAAACGAACCGTTACAAAACACTCAAGATTCGGAAATAATGTTTTTAGTTTTTACTGAAGAGTATAAGATTAAAAAAAAAAGAAATCAAAATATATTTTAATAATTATATCACACTGATGTGCATATAGAGAAAAAAATCAATTTTATATTTGAATTATTGGACACTAATCAAGGACATAACTATATTACATGAGCACCAAAAATCGTTGACAGCTGCTGAGGATAACTGATAAAATGTTAATAAGGCGTTGAAATGTTGACAAAGTGTTGAAATGCAAAGAGTGTTATCCTTGTTGTTTCCATCTTGACACAAATTTGATTGTTGAAACTCGATAATAGTTTCAAAAGTTTATTCTATGTGCACCAATATTATGTCATTGAAAAAAAAAAGTGTTCAATCCCTCCTCCGAAAGATTTGATCAACTTTAGCAAATATCTTCCAATGAACTTTCTCATTCATCAGTCACCTCCGTAATCCTGACAACTTCGAGACACTCCTGGTCTTAGAAGTGAGAATGAGAAATTATTGATAAGTCATCTGATAAGTTATGTTTATATTTTTTTAATGAAATCAATAATAATAGTTCAAATCAGTCTTTGTTTATGTTATTTGTATTAAAAAGAAAAGAAGCTTGAAATAAGCTTTTATTATCAACAACAAAATGAGCCGATTGAATCGAACGAAAATAAAAATGTTCTCATTGTTTTTATTGCATAGTTATTTATATAGTAATAGTAGATAGTAGAAGAGAAACATATAATAGCATCATGTTAATTTAAAAGATAACATATCTGAAAATAAGATAACAGTTCTCTCTTTTGTACATATATACTTATAAAAATTTATCTGAAGAAAAAATCTTTGAACTAAAAGTAAATTCATATCTAATTAGCATTTTAGACAGTGCAACAAAATCAATCTATAATTTGCCGTAATTTTATGAGCCTTGTAATCCTAAGAACCAAATCAATTTTGTGATTTATAGTTCGTTTGATAGAGCAAAGTGTCTACTTTCGGAAGCCCTATCGTTTATTGATTTTATACTGATCTTCATACTGAAGAGAATAGCGTTTTTTTGTAAAAACTTTGTTTTTTAAAGTCTTTTAAACTTTCCTGTTGGCTTTTAGCAGTCACAGACATAATTATCATGAATCGCCAAATATGACAAGTAAATACAATACTGCAACACTAAAACCTACAGAATAAAAGGAAGATGTAAGTGAACTGAAGATTCACCTACATCTTTATATATGTTCATATGATTTGTTTTAATCAGTGATCTATGACAAATTACTTGAAGATTCTTTTTTGTATTAGCTTACGGAGAATAAACTCTTGAATTCGAGTGTTGAAAATTATTTTGCATTTCCGTCTGTTCGAGATTTCTCCGCCATATTAAACGTTAGAAAGCTGAACTTGATGTCAAAATGAAGATAAGAATCAGCTTTACAACTAAACAATACCAACCTTAACATTCTAATATCTAAAATGACAAGAATGTTATGGCACGTACATAAGACGTATTCATAAGAAAATATGTTATATGTATTATCATATATGTTTGTTCGCTCTTTCGTTGTGTTTGATATTTTTTTCCGAGCGTTGTTCTTTTGTTTACTTCCTATATTTTCGTTCTTTCTTTAGTCTAACAATTTTTGTTTGTTTTTTTCTCTCATCTCTATTATTTTTTTTTTTCTATCCTGTGAAAAATCAAGAAAATGTTATTCTTGACCTTGACTTAATGACTATTACGTAGTTAGTAGTACGTGTCAATATCATTGATATGTTTGTGTGATTCTAAAAAAATCAGATTAAGATTTCATTGTTTACAACAAGGAAATTAACTGTTAAAAATAACATCTTAAAATAATCATATACAAAAAACAATTTATATAAAATCTAACAGAAAAATTTGAAAAGCACGACACCTATATTTTCATCCATAATTTGGGTGTGATATAAAAATTTTGAAAATAAATGTCGAAAAAAAAATGAAAACGATTTAGATTTGAATAGTCTCTTCTCACACTTATACGTGCATCCTCAAAAGTTGCACGGACGAAAAATAAAGCAAAAATTCTTGATTGATAGGAATATTTATATCAGACGTAATAGAATGAGAGATTCTCTTTTGAAATTTGCTTTTTAGAATCGAAAATTTGTTTTTCAAAGGTTTTTTACAATCATTCATAAACTGAAGCTAACTGTTTAAAAATTAAAATTTTAGAAACAGCAACTCTTCTGAAATACACTTTACGTGCCTTTTAACTTGGGATTTATACCAATCGATAGGACTTGAGATTTCCCGAAAGATGACATTAGATGAAGTTGTGATAAATCCTATTGACTCTAGTCGATTTAAAATCTGTAGTAGAACTACATTTGATTTCATTTTCCAAACATTTATTTTGTTGAAATGTTGACTCAAAATTTCAAGTTCTATTGACTAATATATATCTCAAGTAAAACAACGTTTTGAGCGTATTTATCAATATCCTATTTATATGATTTCATATATCGTCCTTGATGACTTTATATTACATTTTCATAGTAATAAATATTCTAAAATTTAAAAAAAAGTTATTAAAAAAAATCTTTCTATTAAACCTGTTTAGGCATTGACTTCGGGTATCTGTGTTGGTTCATTATTATCCTATGGTGTTGTAGCTATGTATGGTGATAATAAGCCATCAACGATTCCACATTTTCAATGATCATTTTTTGCTGTTATTGCAAAGAAAAGAAAAAACGAAAAAAAAATCAATGATATATTTATTTTTTTACTTCTGTCTTTCATCATCGACAATAATAAAAAAAAAAACAGAAAAATTAAATAATTTTTATTTTTATCTGTATCAAAAATCTACAGGTAAGTCGGTTTTTTCTTTAATATTCATATCATCCACAAAGCATTTTCCAACCTGTCATAGAAAGCGGCAGATCAAGGTTTTTTCCTTTTTTTTTTCGTTCCTATTTATTTTTTATCGTCGATCCCAGCTTCTTTTGGATGGAGATGGGTGTTGTTTTATTTTTCTTTTCTTCCTCTTTTTTCACGTGCATTTACTAAAAAAAATAAGTACTTCTTTTTATTCTTCACTTTTGCATATATACCCTTTTCTTTCAAACATCATTTATATTTTGTTACAAAAAAAATGTCATCGACAACACTCAAAGAATTACGGCCAGTAACATCAGAAACGAAAGGTGATAAAAAGAAAATCTTATGTGGCGCTTGCGGATCAGAATTAGAACCTGATCATCCTGGCATACAATGTATACAAGGACATCATTTTTGTACAGATTGTTCAAAACAGATTATTGATTTATTCTTTTCTGATCCACAAAGTTATATACCTTTACGTTGTGTTCAATGTCATGTTGAATTAAATACAAATGTATTTGAACGACAATTAACACCGGAGCAACTTGAATTTTATCATCAACATATGTTAGTATTAGTTTGGGCAAAAGAATTAGTTCGTGAAGGTGAACGTTTAGATAATTGTCCATTTTGTAGTTTTGCTGTTATACGTAGTATATATGATTCAAGTATATTTCATTGTGAACGTCCAGATTGTGGTAAAGCATCATGTTTAATATGTCGAAAAGCTTGTCCAAAATTTTTCAGTAATTATGCCACTGCAGCTGAACAAGCTGAAATGCTACAACATTTTACATGTGAAGCATTAGGAAATGATAAATTTTTATTTGATCAAGCTGTTGAAGGTGGACAAAAAGTTTCATGCCCTAAATGTGGTTTATCTGGTATGAAAGATGATTCTTGTACACATATGACTTGTCCAACATGTTCTCAAATATGGTGTTATTTTTGTGGTAAAGCTGTTGAAAAATGTGATAAAGCACGTGATGGAAAAAATACTATATATGATCATAATCATGATTGGGATACTAATCCAAATCGTTGTCCTATGTATTTTACACAAATACAAGATATTGATAAACGATGGCCAGATAATGAAGAAGGTTGTTTAAATATATTTCATCGTATTCGTTCACTACGTTTATTACGTGAAGTATTTGAAAAACTTGGAAGAGAACGTATCAATGCATTGAATCGTCATTTTCGTTCACTTGATGCGTGTGGTTTTTCAAAAAATGAAATACTTAATGAAGATTTAACACTAATTCGAAGACAAACTCAACATCGTCGTAAAGACCATTAAGTTTTTTTTTCATGCTTTTTTTTTTTGATAATAAAAAAAAAGGAAAAAAAAAAATTTTTCTAATAAAAAAAAAAAAAAAGAATACGATAATATTTTAGATGTTGAGAAGACAAGCACGTTTAAGACGTGAATATATATATAGAAAAACAATTGAACAACGACAAAAAACGATTGAAGATAAAAAAAATCGTCTTAAACAGGCTCTTGATGGTAATATATTATTTTATACATATATTATCAAAATAGACTTGTTCATGATATAGAGAATAGAAAAATACCAACGGATCTTCGTGAAGATGCATTAAAATTACAACAACAAACTGATTGGGATGATGCTGGTGGTGAAGGTATAAATTATTTAGTTTTAAAATAATGATTATTTATCAATTGTTTGCTTCTTTTTTTTTTTCAATAGGTATTCTTTCAGCTGAAGATGATGAATATCGTTGGGCTGGTGTTGAAGATCCGAAAGTCATTATAACAACATCACATGATCCTAGTTCAAAATTAAAACAATTTTCTAAAGTTAGTATAATGAATATGTTTTTTTTTTTAAATTAATATTAATTATTTCATTTTAGGAACTTAATCGTTTAATACCAAATTCTCAACGTATTAATCGTGGTAATTACAATACTCGACAAATAGTTGAAGCTTGTCGTAGTAATCAAGTAACTGATTTAATTCTTATTCAAGAAACAAGAGGTGTACCTGGTTTGTATAAATCATCAATGTTTATTTTATAATGAAAGAAACTTTATCAATTTATCTATTTAGATGTTATTCAAATAAGTCATTTTCCTTATGGGTACGTATAAAAACATAAAATGTTAACATAATTTCTACAGAATTGAAATATGAATCACAATGTAGCTACTGTTATGAATCACAGAGAGATCATTTCATTCAGTCTATTCTGGGACAAATTTCTTTGCCATTCTCTTCAGAAATGTAATATGGAAATAATTCAAGTATTAAAATAAGACGTTAGTCATATACAATTCGTCATGGTTAGCCATGTCGCAATACCAATACTATTTGGTATTAATATTGAGTGGTATTTAATACTAATTAGTGTTAGTAAAGCCTTCGACACATTAGAAGACCCCCCTTCAGAAAATCGATTTTATTGACTTTTTTCAGTATTTTACCTTATAACGATATTTAAGTTCAGTAGAGTATAGATGTCGGCATTTGTTCTGTAAGTACTTCTTATGAGTATGACAACGCATACGAGTTCTATCTATACTAATTAAACCTCAATAAAAGCAACTGACTTAAATAATTTTGACACAAAAGAGATGTAATCAGTAGTGTAAAACTTAAAACTAGAATTCAACTGAAATTCAAAGTTTCAACTTTCAAGCTTTCATGCATCTCACGCTGAGAGAGATGCAGTGTGAGTCCTTACATGGTATTCACGTCTAGAGATATGCGGGATGTGTCCTTTTGTAAAGTTAGTTGAAAGTTGAAACGTGAAATTTCATTTGAATTCAAGTTTCGAGTTTAACATATGTGCTCACTCTTGAAAAATGTTCGCTCTTTCTCAACAAAGTTGCACGATTTTCTTCGTTTTTTTCTGCTTAAGAATCCCTGTGACAAAGGTCGATCCTATCTAATTAGTAGTTGTCCTCTTCTTTCTCAATCTTGATGATCGTGAGACACTCCTACCAATAGTTCACGGCCTGTGAAGGATCGAAATGTTAACTTCGATACTATGACATTTGTTTTAAATCTTGTTTTCTCAAAATTTAATATAATTTTTATATTTATTAGACCAACAGCGGCATTTTCATTGAGTAATGTTGTTATGCGTCATGATGTACCTGATGTTGGACCTATGTCTGAACAATATCCACATTTAATATTTTCAAATATGACATCAAAATTAGGACAACGAACAATGAATATACTTAAATATTTATTTCCAGTACCAAAAGAAGATAGTCATAGAACGATTACATTTGTTAATCAAGATGATTATATATCATTTCGGTTAGATACGAAAGCAAAAAAAAAAAAAAAACAAAGATTTGTATTAATTATAGAAGAATTTTATTTTTTTTTTTAGTCATCATGTATACAAAAAAAATGAAGGTCAAATTGAATTAACAGAACTTGGTCCTCGTTTTGAAATGAAATGTAAGAATTTAATTAGATTAATATTATATTTATAACAAAATAAAAATGCATGTTTTTTTTTTGTTTGTTTTGTTTTAAGTGTATCAAATAAAATTAGGTACAATTGATCAATTAGACGCATGTGATACCGAATGGCAATATCGCCCATTTATGAATACAACTAAAAAACGGCAATTTCTTGCAAATGAAAATGATAAAGAATAAAAATTGAAAAAAAAGAAAATTTTTTTTTTTTTGTTATGTCTGTTTGTTATAGGAAATTTATGGCTTCTGTGTAAAGAGAAAAGAAAAATATAATAAAGAACATCATGTTGTTTTTTTTCTTCTGTTTTTCAGATAAATCATTTTTTTTTTCTTTAAACTTTTACATTAAATGAATGTAGCAAAATTAAAATAATTCGTGAAATGTTGCTCAAACAATTATTTTAATAATTTTTTTTTTCTGAACAATAAAATATGTCGTTATTTAAAGCACGTGAATGGTGGTCTTGCCAAGTTGGTTCAGGAGAACAATTTGATTATGGTTGTCTAAAAGTTGGATCATTTACTGAAGATTTAAATAGTAAATTAAATATATAAATTGTTTATTTTTATTCTATGATGTGCTTTTTACTTCTTTAGATAAAGTTGTTGTTGGTAGTCATCAAGGTATACTTCGAATATATAGTCCAAGTTCTTCACAATCAGATTCAATAACAAATAATCATGCAACTGATTTACTTTTGGAAAAAAATCTTGGTATGCCAATTGTACAAATTGAAATTGGGAAATTTGTTAGGTAAAAAAAAAGAAAATTTTGTTTTATTTTTTCTTTTTTATAAAAATAATTTTTATTTATTTTTAGTACATCATCAGTTAATCAAATAGCTATTTTATTCTCTCATAAACTTGCTGTTTATGATTATAATGGTTAATATATAAAAAAAAAAAATTTATTTTAAATATAAATTATACAAAAAGAAAAATTTATTTTTATTTTTAGAACAATCTGGTATGACGGAACATGGTCGACAAATTGATATAGAATTAAATTATGAACATAATTTAAATCGACCAACATTTAATATGTGTAAAGGACAATTTGGTAGTGGTGGAAAAGGAAGTAAAGAAAAAAAGACCGAAAAACTTTTTTTTTAATTAAATATAAAATTTTATTAGATAAAGATTCTGCAAATTTTGAATATATTTGTGTACAAACACTTGATGGTGTTTTATTTGTATTTGAACATGAACGACAATCAATGGTTAAATCTCTTCCCGATACTTATTTACCTGGACCTATTTGTTATTTATCTCGATCCGATGCTATTGCTACTGTTTCAAGTAATCATCATCTTGAATGTTATAAGTAAGTTGAAACATATTCAATTGATTTTTTTTACTAATGA